ACGTACACGCGTGTAACACCGCCAGCAGCCCTCCCACTGCCACGCAGACACGCGGGACTGCAAGTCCCCCGGCGAGTCCTGATCTGCGGAGCCCGGGGCTCAGGGGTCCAGAGGACCGGCCATAGCTGCCCACCGCCCTTCTCCATCGCCGTCCGCACCGGCCCAACCCACGCCGCGAACACGTGGACACTAAGACGCATGGGCCAGTCACGGCAAACCCTGGCTGTGTCTGATCCAGTTAGGATCACCAACATTAGCAGGGCGAAGTCATCTTACACGTCCCAGTAAGCAGACGCGTGCCCATCGCCGCCCGACCAGACCGAAGGCCGGTCCACCGCCGGCCGGGCGGGCGGTCACGCCAGGCCCCGGCTTCAGGCCTGGAGAAGGTCGCCGCTCCAGACGTGCTTTCCCCCGCCTGTGCACCGGAAAACGCTGCTCTGGACTAACAAAGGACACCCCAAGGCCTACGTAACGGAGTCTTAAACAATTTTATGCCTTAAACTCGTAAAATATGCAAAAACACTACTCACCACGAGACAACGCCGTATGGAGATCTATTTCTCCAGGAAATAAAAGAGGCCGTGCAAAGGAAGTGACATCATTTTATACGTCAGATTGGACCAATCAGAGCCGAGATCCTACCAGACAGGCGCGATATGAAACTGAGGACTGAAGGGCGCCATCTTGGCTCTCGCTCTTCAGTTTTCTGTAGAATAGATGTAAGAAAACAGGAGGTAGCGAAGATGTTCTTGTCGTGACAACACAGTACGATAAAAAAATAAACATAATAAGATCGAGCAAAAGCAAATGATTTAATGGAAAGAGCAAAAAGAAATTACCATAAAATATAGTGCGGTAAAAAATCAAAAAGTTAAAAAGACCGAATACATTGATGAAGCCGTGGGAGCCAAGATGGCGTCATTTCCCTGTGCGCTCAGAAACCGGAAGGAGGGTCTGTTGTTCAGCAGAGCTACCGCCAGGGGTCGCAAGCGCGTCGGCGCCGGGACCGTGGGGAGAGAGTCTCTGGCACCCCGCAACACCAAACTCACCTTTTCTCTGCTGCTCTGCTGTGTTCTTTTTTTTCCAGTAGCTGCCGTATTAGTTACGACAGGAAGTTCAGTTTATGACCTCTTGTTGCCATGGAGAAATTCAAGAAACGGGCCGTGGTTATAACTTTATAGTAATGTTATAATAAACTTAATCCTGATTAGAATTCGCTGTTGTGTGGCTGAAACATGTTCATCTAGACAACACTACTTCATCACTTGGCTCCCTCAGACTGTGACAGTCCGCTGCAGGGAGGCCTCCTGCTGCCCAGCCAAGCTGATCAATAGCAGTGGCCCCGGGAGACACTGGGAGACACTGGGATACCTGGAGAGAGACACTGGGAGACACTGGGATACCCGGGAGACACTGGGAGACACTGGGATACCTGGAGAGAGACACTGGGAGACACTGGGAGACACTGGGATACCTGGAGAGACAATGGGAGACACTGGGATACCCAGGAGACACTGGGAAACACTGGGATACCTGGAGAGACAATGGGAGACACTGGGATACCCGGAGAGACACTGGGATACCTGGAGAGACACTAAGAAACACTGGAATACCCGGAGAGAGACACTGGGAAACACTGGGATACCTGGAGAGAGACACTGGGGAACACTGGGAGACACTGGGATACCTGGAGAGACACTGGGATACCCGGAGAAACTGGGATACCTGGAGAGACACTAAGAAACACTGGAATACCCGGAGAGAGACACTGGGAAACACTGGGATACCTGGAGAGAGACACTGGGGAACACTGAGATACCTGGAGAGAGATACTGGGAAACACTGGGATAGCTGGAGAGACCACACAGGTACAGTTCAGGGATTCAACAAGCCTCGAAACTGCGGTCAAGACGTCTCGTCACCAGGCTGCTGTTCTCAGTGTTGGCCACTAGGCGTCGCTGTGGCAGCAGCGTAGCAGGCTGAGGAGACGGCCCCCATATTCAGAAGCGGGCGGCGCCGTGCCAGCTGGCTGCCTGCAGAGGCTGATTCCTGAGCGGGTCGCGCCGTGGGGCTCTGGTGCACACGCTGTTCCGACAGCGCGACAATGAGGCTGCCTGTAAACTCATATCCTCTTCCGAAAATACACTCCAGGGACAGGAACTGCACAGGCTGACCTTCCTGGCATTGTGTTAACGTCTTTACTGCTGTCTGGGGCCTGTGGCTCTGAGGGCGAGGCAGGAGGCAGGAGACTGTGAGGCAGGAGGGGGAGAGACTGTGAGGCAGGAGACTGAGGCAGGAGGGGGAGAGACTGCGAGGCAGGAGACTGTGAGGCAGGAGGGGGAGAGACTCTGAGGCAGGAGACTGTGAGGCAGGAGGGGGGAGACTGTGAGGCAGGAGACTGTGAGGCAGGAGGGGGAGAGACTCTGAGGCAGGAGACTGAGGCAGGAGGGGGGAGAGACTGTGAGGCAGGAGACTGTGAGGCAGGAGGGGGAGAGACTGTGAGGCAGGAGACTGTGAGGCAGGAGGGGGGAGAGACTGAGGCAGGAGACTGTGAGGCAGGAGGGGGGAGAGACTGTGAGGCAGGACACTCTGAGGTTGGCGGGGAGAGACTGAGGCAGCGAGGCAGGAGCCCTGCTGACTGTATCGTGGAAGGAGCTGATGGTTCACTTTCTGTCTCTGCCTGATAAGCGTCTCCTCCCCTCGTCTGGCAAGTGTGTTACACAAGCTCCCTGCGCCGCCCTGTTTCTACTGCAGCAGTTCCTGGAGCACCGCCATCAAACTTCTTCAGCTGCTCAATCGAACTGCATGTGAATGTGGCTGTCTGGGCTACCCTGACCTCAGCCTCTGCCTGCTCACTGCAGCCTTCAGTTTGCCCTCAAAACCTGCCCGAGCGAAGGAGCGGCGACAGAAACAAATTTAAACAAATCAGATCCTGAGCTCAGTGACGAGAGCGAGTCTTCAGGCGTCGGAGATGACTGGGACTCGATCTCTCACGGAGTCCTGCCTCCCACTGAACTTCCCAGCTCGTTCAGAGCAGCTGGCAGCTCTGTGCTGAGACCCTGCTGACCTTTGGAAATGAGCTCACAGCTGGGCATCCTGAGGAGTTCAGGGGTATTTCAGCAGATGTTTTCTGTAGCAAAAACAAGTTTCATCACCCTCTCATTCTCCTTGCTCCACACTCTGTGTAGGTGAGGGAGCCTCTATTGATCTGTGACTAAAGTGCAGTTTGAGGAGACATGGAGTTAAGGTGAAAGTCCACCTTTCTCCTGAATGGAGATAAAGAAAGTATCTTTCTCAGTTCATATTTCCTGCTGCTTCTACAACACTACAATACACCTGCGTCTCCAGCCCACCACGGGAATGACTGTCTGTACTGGGGAGGTCCAATGAGTTATAGCACCTGGCACAGAGCTGAGGGCTTCAGGCTGATGTTGTATCACTCCCCAGTGTGCAGACTGCTATGCTGTCTCTGAAGGTTTACACTGACTCACTCCTGTGGAGTGCGTCTGTCAGTGATCAATACAAGACAGATTGTGGGAGCAGAGCCGGGGCACCTCAGAATGTTCTGTTCCTCAGGTTGGGATCATCACACTTCTGCATTTGATGCAGAATTCAGGGCGCCCCTGCTGTCTGTACGAACCCCTGCCGAGCGAACAGTCCAGACTGCTTCGGTCTCCCTCTCTGGGTGTCAAATCCTATCTGCCTTGACAGCCTCCCAGGGCCCGTCTCCATGGCAACAGCAGACACGGGTGTCCAGCGCGGTGCCTGAGAGGCGTCTGCCAAGCCCCACAGGCACACACTGAGACAATCCCGTCACTGAGAATCAGGATGCCCTCATCACGTTCTGACAGACACGAAAAACTCCTTGTACAGCTTGTCCCAGGATCCCAGAGAGATTAAATCCACACTTACAAAACAAGGATTTTTATTTCAACATTTCAAAAGAACACAGAGGATCTTGTACAAAACAGAAACACAACCTCTCAGAACCACAGCAATGAGAATAATTAATAGTAATTACAACACCCTGTTTAGTTAATTGATATGCGAGAGAAGAAGCAAAGAAGTCAGCCAGTGGAGCCAAGAGTGTCCCAGAGCTCTGCTGTCCTGCTGCAGTGACCACTGGCCATCCGCCTGCAAGCTCCAGGGACAAGTGAACGCTGATGTCCTGCACATAACACTGCCAGTCCAGTCCCAGACCGCACACTGTCCATCCAGTCCAATCCAGTCCCAGACTGCAGTCAGTGTCCAGTCCAGTCCAGTCCCAGACCACTGACCAGAGAGTGAGTGTCAGTGTCCAGTCCAACAGGACACCAGTGTCCAGTATCAGCCAGGTCGTCCACACCCTTTCCTTTCGCCTTGGAAACGAGTGGGTCACGTCAGTCCGGCCAGCCCCACACACACCCGGGGTGGCTAGTGCACCGGGCCGGACCGGGCTGGGCCCCCCCTCCTGTCCGTGTCCCCGGCGTCGGCCCGTCCGCCCTCAGGACTTCAGGCCCATCTTGGCCATGAGCTGCTCGTACACGGTCCAGGCCATCGCCGCCATCAGCGTGCGCCGCAGGGAGCGCGGCACGGCGCCGCGGAAGAAGCCCCGCAGCCCGTGAGCCTGGGGGGACAGAGCGTCAGTGTGGCCCAGGGGCGCCCCCCCCCCCGAACACAACGAACACAAGGCACCGTCTTACCCTGTAGATGTAGCGGACGGCGTCCCCGGTCCAGCGGTACTGCCCCGGGCGGATCTGCACCTGCGTCTTCACCACGTCGGCTGGCTGGGTGACCAGAGCGGCCAGGACCCCCGCCACCACCCCGCAGCCAAAATTCACCAGCGGCACACAGGGGGCGCTCCACACCTCTGCAACAGACACGGCCCTGTGCTGAGAACAGGCCAGGCCCACAGCACACACTGCGCACTCCCTCTCTCTGCCACAGGGGCGGCGCTCTGGGCCCAGAGCGCACACTGCGCACTCCCTCTCTCTGCCACAGGGGCGGCGCTCTGGGCCCACAGCGCACTCCCTCTCTCTGCCACAGGGGCGGCGCTCTGGCTGGGGGGCTCTGTTCCATACCTGCGGGCACCGACTTCTTGGTCTGGCTGTAGAACATGACGTAGATGCCGGAGAAGGGCGCGTCTCTGAGGAGCGTGGCCGTCAGCCCCGAGAACAGCGCACGCGGCCCCTCCGACACGTAGATGCTGCGCAGGGCTCCGAACACGCTGGCGTAGCTGTAGCGACCGCTCTGCAGCACAGGGAACGGGACACCAGGCGTCACACAGGGACACAGGGCAGGCGCGGAGACCCCTCTCCCCCGCTCGAAGCATCGCCTCCCCCCAGTGCCCACCCTCACCTCAAAGCGCGTCTTCACCACGGTGACGGGCAGCATGCAGACTCCGGCCACTGACCGCGCCCCCGCGCCCAGCAGCACCGCCTCCAGCGCGGACGGAGCACGCTCAGAGAAGAACCGCTGCTTCAGTGAGAAGAAGGTGCTAAAATAGATCCCGACACCGGGAATACAGCGTACAAACGACTAGGAGAGAGAGAGAGAGAGAGAGAG